TGCACTCGCAGCCAAGAAATCCAACTGTGTCCTGGGCTGCATCAGGAGAAGTGTGGCCAGGAGGTTGAGGGAGGGGGATTCTCCTTCTCTGCTCCACTCTCACGAGACCCCACCTGCAGTGCTGTGTCCAGCTCTGGGGTCCCCAACATCAGAAGGACATGGACCTGCTTGAGTGGGTCCAGAGGAGGGTCACAAAGATGCTCAGAGGGCTGGAGCACCTCCCCTATGAGGACAGGCTGAGAGGGTTGGAGGTGTTCAGCCTAAAGAAGAGAAGACTCCCAGGAGACCTTATAGCAGACTTCCAGTACTTAAAGGGGGCCTACAGAAAAGCTGGGGAGGGACTCTTTATCAGGGATTGTAGGGATGGGACAAGGAGTAATGGTTTTAAACTGAAAGAGGATAGATTTAGGTTAGATATAAGGCAGAAATTCCTTACTGGGAGGGTGGTGAGACACTGGCACAGGTTGCCCAGAGAAGCTGTGGCTGTGCCCTCCCTGGAAGGGTTCAAGGCCAGGTTGGACGGGGCTTTGAGCACCCTGGGCTGGGGGAAGGTGTCCCTGCCCATGGCAGGGAGGGTGGAACTAGGTGGTCTTTAAGGTCCCTTCCAACCCAAACGATTATATTGATTCTATGATTCAAAGATGATCATAATACCTGTTGTCCTTACAGGTATGTATGATTGAAATGCTAGAGACAAAACCAAAAGAGAGGTTAGAAATAATCCTAAAAAATAATTTTTAAAATGATGCACTGTAAAATCCTGTCCAAAACAATAAGTAAAACCCTTTTCCATTAATTTTGATATAAATATTTATGAGCACTGCCTTCATAGAAATTTTAATTATTTCTCTACTTAGTTTCATCTTGGGAAGTTTGAGTAACTGTTATCTATGAAAATTCCATTTTCAGATATCAGGTTTATGACTTATAGCACAGTTCCTCAAACATTACCAAAGTCAAGAAAAGGTGCTCATATTTCATTTTGGTTTGTAAGACAAATATTGAGTGACTGGTTGCTGCTCTATCTGAATGGCTTTTTTGTTGGGGGGCAGAGCTAAGCCAAGCCTCTGCTCAAGTCACGTAATGTCCTCTCCAGACCTTGACAGATAAAAAGATGACTCCCTTAAATAATAGTTTAGTTCTTCATAGTTATTCGGGGATGGAGACAGGGAGGTAAGTGGATATCACAGATTGGCATACTCTGGCATATGGAATAGTACCTCTTATTGTTGGTTTGAATGGAATTCTTTGGTTTTAAAGCATCCTTAACTACCTTTAATTCCAGCCTCCATGGGCCTATCTGCACACATGCAGCATGAGCCTCACCCCTGATTAATCCAAAAGCCTCAGAGAGAGACAGACGGGAAAAGGCAGCGTGAGCAATGCTTACAAGTCAGAAGATTTCAGAGGCAAAGCCAAGCAGCTGTGCCTTGTCAGTCCAGCCCCAAGAGAGAAGACGGGTATTCTAAAACTGCCACATCTGATCAGCCAGGACAGGCAGTGAGCTCAGGTAGCTCAGTTGAACACCTCTACTCTAATTAGATTCATCTCTTTCAGAAACTAATATCCAAGGAGACACTTTTACAGATGAAAAGTCCAACAACTGCCACACAATCTCTCTGATTTGACAAGAACAAGTGCTAGATAAGGACTTAATCTTGTGCAAATAGCCTTCCGTTAATTAAACCTTATCTTCTATCCAAAACCCATCTCATTTACATATGTATTTGTAAGATATATGTGCCAGTTGTATTGTCCAGAATAAATATTATCTTTAACATTACACTTGTTTCTTGACAGCATCACGCATTAGTTTCGCACATATGATAAACTGCAGTCTGAACTCATTCCTGTTTTTTAATGCTAGGAACATTAACACATTAACTGGTTTACAAACATTGTAAAGTTAAAATGCCAAGGTATTAAAAGGCTAATTACAGTTTTCTTTAATCCAGTAATGAAATCGTATCAAAGAAATTACTTCTTCTGTTTTCTTATACCCCAAGATAGGAGTTCCTATTTACAGCACCTCCAGATCCACATCTTTTCCTGAAATAGCACAGACAGGGATGAGAAGACCAGCACCTTTGAAGAAAGTAATGTGAAAAGGGTAAGAAGGCTGTTTGACTCCTGTGCCTCCTGTTGCCTACTTGTGTCGCGCATGGATATAAACTGTCTTTGAAAGATGTTGCGTTAGATTGTCACCAAGTCAAGCTGAGAAACCAGAGAAAATATACTCTCTTCCCTGTTAGGTATTAGCACAGATGTTATATTCTGGAAACAGTGTCGGGTGAATGAGCAGGGGTTTTGGCAAGCTGCCACTATTAAGCACTCTTGGATAGTCAACCTTGGATAATCACCTTTTTGGAGATTAGGAGTGAGTAATACCTCTGAAATATGATCCCCACCCAAAGACAGAGAAAAAATTGGAAAATTTAACTTCCAGAAAAAGAGCAAAAGAAACAAATCTTTCTCTTTTCTTCTCCCCACCCTGGATTTCATACAAGTCTTTCTTTCTGATTTTGGTATGGTGGAAATCATCAGAGAAGATTCTGCATTACCATGTTTATCCCCAAGAGATGAAAAAAGAGCATTTCAGGTTTTCATAACTTTACCAAAAATATTATTCATGAAAATTCATTTTAGGAGTGAAATTATGGGTTTTTTGGGTTGTTTTTTTTTTTTTTTTTTTTTTCTGCTATGTGTGTGGTTTTCTCTGTGACATATGGTGAGTTCTCTCTTGTAAGTTAATGCTGATTTATGTTGTGCAGGTTTGTTGCTTTGCTTTTTGTGTACCAAACAAGGATAACCACTGTATTTTGCAGATGTGATTTATATGACCACAACATAGCCGAAACAAGAATTTTTTAAAGTCCAATCCAGAAAGGTGATTATGTAGGTCCATACAGAAGATGGCATTAGCATAGTTTTGCACACCCTTTCTTATATTACCCTCACTCTGGAAATCTCACATTTTCCTACATAATGCAGTCCTTACTAGACTGAGTGAAGAGATAAATAAATCATGGTATGTATTTATAAATTCATACTTTTTCCTTATTGCTAGTATATTTCAAATTATCTTTCTGGGTTTGTCTTCAACAACAGCCACTTTTCAGGAAAGGTATTTATTGTTGCACATGTATTTTATCCTTCAGCATATCAAAACCAGACCCATGACATTTTTACCTGTCCAGCTAGTATTTTGCACACGACATTTTTTAGCAAATTCTGGTTCTAATTAAGGGAACAAGAGTTGCTTTGGTTATGCCCACGGTTTTCAACCAGGAAAACACGAAGTGTTAACAGCTTACAGTATGTTTTTAGTGACACCCCGTGGCAAAAATGACACATTACAAATATCCAATAGTCACGTGCCAAAATTGAAACAAACGGTCCCACAGTTTGTTTTTTAGTAATATCAGAAGTCCCACAAGATGCATTTCACTTCCTCTGACCAGCATTAAAGTACCCAGGTTCACTTCTGCATTTAGCCAACTGCCTCAAAAGTTGATTTTTCAATATTTAGAACACTAAATCAGCACATTTTTATGGACAAAGTTCACCTTATGCATCACAGAATAGTTCACCTCAGTGAAAAGTTATCACCAGTCTAATTTAGCAACAAGTTATGCCCATTTCAAACTGCTTAAAACAATTCCCAACTTTTTTCCTTTTTTTTAATGTGACACTACGTGCCAAGCGCACACATCACATCAGGCTCCTTTTAATCTGTTTCTCACTAATCACCACCAGCACACATGCAGTGATGGTTTCTTACTTCTTGCTTGCCCTACTACACCCACACATTCATTCTGAGAGTTTGGTAAGGAACTGTCATGCTCTTAATGATCCAGTTCTTCAGGAGGAAGCAACCCCAAGCTTACATCTTTAATTTCAGAAGTCTTCACCCTCATCCATCTTCTTTTCTCCTTCACCTTTTAGATAATATAGCTGTCCTAGTACTGGTTCTTCAGATAGACAGTAAAGGCAATAGAGGCCCCATCATAAACAGTTTTCTTTATTGGTAAAGCAAATGCATGAATACCCAATTACATACCCACAGCCAAACTCCTTCCTTAAGTAATTTCACTGTTTCATCTGAATAAGGATACCAATTTGGTGTTTTCTTCCCAAGCCACCTATTCCTAGAATTAGGAAGAATAAAAATACTTCCCTGTAACTGTTCAAGAGGAATAGCCTATGTGACAACCTGCTGTACCAACCTTTTTCTTTACAATTCCTTCATGTCTTGGGACTCCAATATTAAGGCGGAATGAAAGATAAAAACATGCAATGTATCCTTTATGAATACACATACACCAGCAAGAGATAATAGAGCACATATCTGCCCATATAGAAACTACTGTGGACAAAAACTTCAACTACTACCATTGAACGCTGTTGCACAGTGTAAGCTTAAATACAGACAATAGATCTTGAAGAAGAGTTATAGCTAAGGTCTGGCAGACTTTAAGGAGGGGCTTAAATCAGTGCACATCAGACGACAATCTGCTGCATGCAATACATCTTTAATTACATTGTCTTTGATCACTTCCAGCTTGTTAATGAATTACGCTATCAACGTTTCTGTATCTTCACGAATACCATGGATAGTTTCTATGTATTTCACAAGTCTCTCCACTTTGCTGTTAACATGTTCAGTCACCCTCTGAACTCATGCAAGCTTCTAGCACCCCGTGGCCAAGAGCTGCACAGCTGGGGCTCGCACCAAGCATCGTCCGTTTTATCCGTTGCGCATCCCTCCCTCCTTGGCATGAACCAACAATTCGCCGTTAGCGCGTGGGCAGAGGCAGCTGAAGATCAACACCGACCTACTTCCTTTAATACCACTTACCATTTTACAAACTCGCCACAGGAGGCTTGGTGTTGTGAGTTGGGGGGGGGTGTTTGTTGTTTTTTTTGTGTGTGTGTGTGTGGGGGGGGGGGGGGGGGGGGGGGTGTTGGTTTGTTTGTTTTGGGTTTGGGTTTTTTTTACCAAGCTGAAGATTCTTACCCGCACAGCAGCTGACCATTATGCACCTCACCTGCACCCGCGCTGCCACCCGCCCGCCGCTCTCACCCCCCCGCGCCGCGGCCTTTCCGCCCTCCCGCCCCGCCCCACCCTCCCCCAGGGACGCCGGGACCGCCCGCCCCCGGGCCCCTCTGACCTCGGGAACCGGAAAGCGCCGACGGGCCCGCGCCTCACCGCCGTGAGTACCGACCCACGCGCGCATCGCCTCGGTGTAGCCGCGCGGGGGAGGGACGGGGCCTGTTGCCGGGCGGGCTGCCGTCACGGCGAGGGGTGGCCGCCGAGGGGAGCTGCGGGGGATGGGGGAACGCCTGTGCTAAGAGCGAAATGGCGGCCGGGGCGGCGGCGGGTGGCGCCGTCTCCGGTAACTGCGGGGCTTTGCTTCGCCTCTCCCCAGGGCGCTGCGCCTGGCTGGCTAGGCACTGGCTCAACAAGCTCATTGAATTTTTGCGCCTTTTTTTTTTTTTCTTAGCAGATGAATAAAAAGAAAAAAAAAACCACAACAAAACAACAAACAACAACAACAAAAAAAAAAAAAAAACCAAACAAAAAAAAAAAACGAACAAAACTAATTGGACTGCTCAAATTAGGTTTAGCGAAATACATAAAGTAAAATTCCATTAGAAGGATGGTACTGAGTGAGGGGAAACCACACAGTTTAATTCCATTTTTTCCTTTGGTCTTTTAGCCACCAAAGACTGCAAGGAGAAGCTACTTTGACAACCCCATCTTTTATGTTAAGCACACATCAGGGTTTGAAAAGAAGAAACACGCCTTGTAACTCATCAACTCAGGAGGATTGCTACTTTGGGAAGAGGATGACTCCATCATGACTGCCACTAGCATTTCAATTCTGTCACAATAGCAGGTTGCTTTACCAGATTAAGCGTTCCATCCATCTACTGTCCAGTTGTTAAAAATATGGTACTCCAGTCATCATTAAAGAACTGCCTTCAGCTATCTTGCATCCTCAGGACTGCAAAAGCTGGCTTCAGAAGGACAACTAGTGGGGGCCTCATTATCCAGTCTGTTTCTAATGATGTTTACCAAAATCTAGCTGTGGAAGACTGGATCCATGACCACATGGATTTAGAGAACCAGCAGATCCTTTTCCTTTGGAGAAATTCCCCTGCTGTGGTAATAGGGAGACATCAGAATCCCTGGCAGGAATGCAACCTCAGGCTACTGAGGCAAAAAAATATAAAACTAGCCAGGAGAAGAAGTGGAGGAGGAACAGTTTACCATGACTTAGGCAATATAAATTTGTCTTTCTTTACAACCAGAAGAAAATACGAACGAATGGAAAACCTGAAACTGGTTGTGAAAGCACTGAAGGCCTTGTGCCCCCAGTTAGATGTGCATGTCACTGAGAGATACAACATCTTGCTAGACAGGCAATACAAAATCTCAGGTACTGCTGCAAAGCTGGGAAGTAGAACTGCTTATCACCACTGTACCTTACTCTGTAATGCAGATAAGTTTGTTTTATCTTCTGTGCTAAAGAGTCCTTATAAAGGGATAAAAAGCAATGCAACTCCTAGTGTGCCTGCCTCAGTGAAAAATCTCTTTGAAGAGGATCCTAGTTTAACTTATGAGATTCTCCTGGATGCCATTGCTGAAGAATATGCTACACAACACCAAATAGATCATCATATCACCTTAATAAATCCAGCTGATGAGACTCTGCTTCCTGGAATTAGTAATAAAACTGAAGAACTACAAACCTGGGAATGGGTGTATGGAAAGACACCAAAGTTCAGCATTAGCACTTGTTTTAACATAGTCTATAAAGATTCTGCTCTTGACATTAAAGTAGATATGGACATAAAGCATGGAAGGATTGAAGTCTGTAACATTGATCTGCCAGAGCAGTGGCTGCCACCAGCCCTGTGCAGTGAACTGATGAAGAGCCTTACCGGCAGTAAGTTTTGCCCGAATGAAACCAGTGCACTAGCAACAGCGTTGCTGAGAGTGTGTCCACAAGATGATGAGTTGCACAGCAGGTGGAATCTGCTATGTGAGAATATGATAATGTTAATGTGACGTGCATTTCGAAAATGTAAGTTAAACTTCTGCTTTTTTATTTAATTTATTGAGAACAAAATTAAAGCATTATTTTCTACAAGTTGAATTATTCTCTTATTAGTCATTCAGACTGTTTAATCTTGTACTTTTGCTTCATGTTACCTATGCGCAATTAGATTTAACAGTACCTGCATCCACAGTTTCCAAACTGTAGGATGTAAGCCACTGCAGTAGGCTGCAGCCCTGTGTCACTCCATGCTGACATCCATCATCGTTGCTTAAAACAGGGAAAATGGTGGCAGCTTCCCAAACCAGCTCTGAGGCAGAGAAGGTACAAATGGCAGACAGAGATGAGATGGGGTAGGTGGAAAACTGCCGCTGTGCTGCCATATCGGATCCCCCCACCTGCATGCCATTCCTTGCAGATAGTAGCTCAAAGGCCAGGTCTCAGCCCCTGAGCTGTGTGGAGAGGGATGTCCCCCCAGTTTCTGGTTGCACTTCCTGCCTTGAAGAGTGCTGGTGACTGTCTCTCTGCCTTCACTGTACCAAGCATGGTAGTAAAATAAACTGACTACATGAGTGACAGCATAGAACAGGCCCCGGAGTCAGTAAAATGACTGTGGAAACCGTACTCTTAGATTCCTCTTGATTTTTTTTTTTTTTCCATTCATTGATGCCTATTCCTCTTCATAGATGGTGCTCCTGCTGACAGTGAAAGGACTTACTCAGAGATCAGGTAAAAGACTGCAGTGCATAGCCAGCTGGTATATCACTAGACTTACTTGTACACATATTGCATATCCACGAGATCTGCAAGGAAAGCTGCAGTCTTAGCTAGTGAATTATAGTCTAATTAGAAAACAGAGAAAAAGTTCTAGCAATGAATAGGGAAGGGAGGGAAGACCATGCTTACCTCTTGTGGTATTTGTAGAGGACCACATCACAGAGGCTCGCTACTAGAACAGAGAGGCATATTGTATTACAAGATGCAGAAAGCATGAAGATTTTTGACTTCCACTTAAATACTATAAAATTGACCTAAAATAGTTAAGGTGGCTTTTTATTTTGCTCCTGTATTTTTGAAATTGCTGGACTAGGTTAAAAGATACAAAACTTCACATCTGGGAAGCTTACTGTATTTACAGTGAACCTTCTCCCAAAAATCTGTAAGGCATTACCCAGCTTCTTTGAATTACCCTACGTAGTGCAGAGAAGAATTCAAACAGATGACTAAAACTACAAATAATAAAAAATAACCTTTATTCCCATTAAAAAAAGGCATATATTATACACAACTGAATAAAACTGTTGACAGTGATCAGAACCCAAGTAACACAGCAGCAAGCCAGGAAGCTTCTATGGAATGTCTGGGAGGACCAACAGGTAACATACAGCTTCTGTAGCACGTATGTTACTCTTTTTGCTGATGTAACACTGAAAAGCTGAGGCACGATTATGCAAAAGGATAAAACAGGCAGACCACTGGCAAATTGTCACCCAGAAAACAAGGCAAACACCAGCTGTTTCTTACTGATAGCTGTGGAATAGATTTGTTGTATTAGAGACAAGACTAAGAATAGCAGCATTAGATGATAGAAGGTGAAAGAAGAATAAAGAATGAAATGAGATAATAGAATATACCAGCCATCAGGAAGAAGAAACATAGGAGAAAAATTTCTAGCAATGTACATGCTACTAGAATATGGAGGCATACTTTATTACAAGATGCAGAAAATGTAAGTCACCTATCAGTCCTGAGGCTGAAAAGATTTTGATCGGACCTGCAAAAGAGGTTCATGTCAGAATATACAACTTTGCTGGATTCTTGCCGACAATGGTCAAGAACTTTCAAACTAGGAGAAAAAGCAGCTGCATCTCAGGTGATACCTTCCCCTTTCCAGAAGATGAAGGGAAGACAAGAAAAGACTCTGCCTTTTTTCCAATTAGCATATTTGTTGGAATCATTATTAACAAGAAAGTTTCAGGGTATCCCACTTCTGAAAGAATTTAAAAATAATTTTTTTTTTTTTTTTTAGGGCACTATCTTAGTAGCAGGGAAATAGCTTACTGCAGTTCAGACTGGTATAACTAGCTGTAATGACATTAAACTGGCAAGTCAGGGAAAAAGATTGGGAGAGGATCATACCACCTTTCCATGCTGGACATAAAGGATGGAAATCAGGTATATGACCATACATTACAGAATAAAAGAACATACAGGATTGACATGGAAAAGAACAGAGTTGTTTGCATCCCTTCCAGCAAAAAAATTCATCAAGCAGAGACATGCAAGACAACCCTAAAATGTCTGTACATTGAACACTACAATGCTTGTGCTCAAGGAGGTTGGAAAACTGAATGTTAGATCTGGGTTTACTAGTAAAGTCTGTGAAATTAGGTATTATGGGATTGAGTAAAACACAGCAGAACAGTAGTCATGACTAGAATACAGGAATTAAAGGAAATAAATATGGCTGCTTATAAAAGAGGACATGAAGCAGCCCAGCTTCCAATGTTTATCAAGTGGTCAATTAAAGATATAAAGAAATAAATTTGCCCAAGACAAAATTAATAGTGAAAATAGAAATGACAGTAAAGAGGCCTCTGAGAGACAGTATTGAGGGTCTGTTAAGAAATCAAGATCAAATATAGATATGGACTGTATTAATTAATATTATTAGAGAAGTACAGTGGTGGAATTGTACAGTTGTGTTTTCTCAGAAGTCTCAACTATTCTTAAATCTATGGATTATAAAAGCTGTGTGGACTAAGTACTTAGAAGAATTGCTTCTGAGGGTGTACAGCTGGACTCAAGCAGCATCTTCTAGTCTTAGATTTTTATGCTTATAAAACCACTCATTAAAAGCAGTCATATCTGATCACATTTTCTTTGTATGTTTAGTATGAAAGATGTCCACTGTTGTTTCATGACAAGGTCGCAAGTCAAAGTCACAGTATCCAATGCTGAAACGACCCTGCAGAAATTAACAGAATTGACATGGTGAGCATAGAATGAGCTCTTCTACAGTATAAATTAATTGAAGAGATCAAAACATTCTTGCCTGTGGTTTCTTAAAATAATCAAGACCCCTTCCAATCTTAATCATCCATCCATTGTTGAATCTGTTTTAAAAATGAACAAATGTGAAAACCATGAGTATGTCGAATAAAAAAAAAATAATTATATCCACAGGATGCACAAGCTCCTTGTTTCAATCACAGTTATTTCCCAGTGTCACCAATACCTGTATGAACCATGGAAGACACTGTTCTGTACAGCGACATATACTATTATGTTCACAGAACACATGAAACTGCTGAGGGCTAATTTTACTGAGTGAGGGCCACTGCCTTCCACTTTGTTAACCACATCTGTAATCACAAATTGTCTCAAAAGTTAGGCTAAAGTGGTTTGATTTCAAATAACTGGCATTCACTTATTTTTTATATCACCCACCTAATTTCTCGATCATGTATTGAAGATGAAAATTCAAAATTCAGTGTTACTCCATAATTCCTCAATGATTTTTGTATTTCTTCCAAGCCATTTATCTGTTGACTCCTCCCACTGCCCTGTTAAAAGTAAAAATAACGCAGCAAGGGGTTTTTTTACCATATATATACATATTCTACTTTTGGTCACTTCTTCTTAAACTCACCAACAAAATCTTTTTAGTAATAAGTTAAACCCAACAAAAGTCACTTAGATGAAGGTAGACTGCATTTCTGAAGACCAGATAAAAAGCAGACAGATTACAAGTACCCTTGCTAAAGGATATGGAGGAAAAGATCACTCTAGGCCCCTTGAAACTAGGTATGTGTTAATATTTGAGCTAAAATAAATGCAGTGACAGTTTGAGAGGGTTTACCTCATCAAAGCCTCTAAAATGACAACTATATACAGCTGTTGGAAGAGGTGGGAAAAAAAATGTTATTTCAACAGATGTTTTTGTTTTTATGACATTTTCCACAGCGAAGCTTTCACAAAAATATCTTTTCCGTTTAAAGATCCTGCTTACCAGTAATTCTTTAGTTATTAGGAAACTCTGAACTTATGAAATTACTTATGTTCAACTATCATTATTTTGCTCATCTGTGTTTTCTGCTGAAGGTGTCAGAGACTCTGACTAACGAATACTATTAAGAATAAATCTATACGTAAAAATAAGCGTGTGTGGGTATTTATTTGCACATGGTGTCACATGAGCACAAGAAAACAGAACCCAAAATCTAGACACTTACTTCATCACAGGAAGTGAGGAGGTAGATTGTTTTCACTTTGCACGGCCCCTTAACTAGCATCTCGCAGAATCGCAGGAAGTTATACAACTGTAAAAGTTTTATTTAATTCAGCAACGTGGAATTTTTTTAGTAGTTACATCTGTATCACACCGAATATCTACTTGCCTGATAAACACTCCTTATGTATGGGTCCTCCACCCAGACTTCAGAAACAACCTCAGTAAGGTACTCTTGGAAAAGCTTTTCATAGCTGAAACCCGTTGCATTTTCCTCTATCCTGATTTGCTTATGGTATTTGCCCTCTGAGAAGATCATGACATAATTCCTAGGTTAACTGCCTCACCCATAAAGCGTTCACATAACAACAGTTACTTAAATGCAGAAGGGTACATCGCAGCTCCATACCTCGTTTCTCTTTTTCAGTGTTCTTTTTAATGTCTTCAGCCCTGGTCATGTACTCGGATATTTTCTGCCGGTAACGGTGCTTTTTTGCCTCATCTTTCGTGGCTGCGAAGCAAAAGCACACTGGCCAGTTCCCCTCGAAGCGGGGGAAGCGCGGGCAGCTGAGCCCTGCCCGGTCCCCCCCGAGTTCCCGGGGAGAGACCACCAGCTTTCCCCTCCCTCTCCCCGTGAGGCGACGGGGGACCGGCTCGTGTCTTCTCAAAACCACCCCCGGATGGCGGCCTCCGACAAGCCCGGGGGGTGTTTAACAACTAACCGCCGCTACAGCTGTGGTAAACGGCCGTCGCCCCTCGCTCGGTACCTTTCACCACCTGCAGCAGGAGGTCGATGCCCTCCTGGTAGCACACCAGTGACTCCTGGAACCGAGACGCCAGATCCAGCTCCACCGCCCGCTTCACCGCTTCCGCCCCGGCCCGCTCCAGCGCGGCGGTGCCATCGCCCCCCACCCGCGACATGAGCGCCGCAGCGGGGACCAGCACCGGGCAGCCCACGCCTCCGTCAGCGCCGGGAGCCGGCGGGGGGGGGGGGGGTGGACAGACAGAAGGACGGACAGACAGGGGACGCCGCGCATGCACGCCACCTCACCCGCCACCAAGGGAGCAGAAACTGAAGCGGAGGAGAGAAGGCGGACTGTGCCTCACCCTCCTCCTTCCGCCGGCGCGGAACCGAAGTGCTGTGGAGTTGGTGCCCCGCCGGAAGTTTCCGAACCGGAATGGCGGCCGCGGCGGGCAGGGGAGGTTTGGGGCATGTCGCCGCTTGGAAGGTGGTGGCCCGGGCTGGGGTTTGGTTCGGGAGTGACGCAGCTCTGGTGCTGGCGCTTCTCCGCTGAGGGGGTCGGTGTCACGGGTGGTGCGAGGGGCCCGCTGGGTGCCTCCCGTGAGGGGAGAGCGCGGCCCTGGGAAAGGCGGGGGAACCTGTGGGCGCCCGGTGCCGGCACAGTCGGTTCTTCGACCACTGAGAGGTGTAAATAAGCGCGGGATGTGTTCTCACCCGCTCCGAGTTGGGGTGGCGGTGTAGTCTGTTTGCGAGTATGAAGAGCTGTGAGGAAAGTCTCGGTGAGTGATGGCCTGCTCCCTTCACAGGTGCTGGGCAAGAGGACGGAGAGGATGGCATCAGCAGTGTGGGTTCGTTGTCTCTTTACCAGGTCGAGAATTCCAGACTCGGTATGTGCTTCGGTAGCTAAGAAACTGGAAGAATAAGTATTAGCCTACTTAATTCTGTGCTTCCTGTGGCATGACAGATTTCTAGAGACTATGGGATGATGAGCAGGTTCGCGATGCGGTGGGTGAAGAGCTGGCTGATGGGCAGAGCCTAAAGGGTTGTAAGGAGTGAGGCCATAGCTGGCTGGCGACTGGTCACCAGCAGTGTTCCTCCGGGCTCAATTCTAGGGTCAGTGCTGTTCAGTATCCAGTGGCCTGGATGCAGGAGCTGAATGCACCATTAACAAGTTTGCTGATGATACCAAACTGGGAGGTGCTGTTGACTCTCTTGAGGGACAAGAGTCCTTGCAGAGGGATCTAGATAGTTTGGAGCATTGGACAATCGTCAGTGGCATGAAATATAACAAGAAAAAATGTCAGGTTCTGCACTTGGGACAGAGTAATGCTGGGAACAAGTATAAATGGAGAGCAGAGTGTCTGGATAGCAGCCCAGCAGAAAGGGATCTGGGGGTGCTGGTCGGTAGCTGGCTCAGTGTGAGCCAGCAGTGAGCCCTAGCAGCCAAGGGAACAAACAACACCCTGGGGTGCGTCAAACACAGCATAACCAGCCAGGCAAAAGAGGGGATTGTTCTGCTCTATTCAGCACTGGGGTGGCCTCACCCTGCGTGCTGTGTGCAGTTCTGGGCCCCACAATTTCAGAAGGATGTTAAAGGTCCTTGAGCACATCCAGAGGACGGCAACCAAGCCAGTGAAAGGACTGGAAGACATGCCCTGTGAGGAGCAGATAAGGACTTTGATCTTGTCTAGTTTAGAGAAAAGGAGGCTGAGGGGTGACCTCATTGTTCTCTGCAGCTCCCTGAGGGGAAATGGAGAGTGAGGTGCTGAGCTCTTCTCCCTGGGATCCAGGGACAGGATGTGTGAGAAAGGTTCAAAGCTGTACCAGAGGAGGTTCAGACTGGACTTTTGGAAGCATTTCTTTACTGAGAGGGTTGTCAAACCCTGGAACAGGCTTCCTAGAGAGGTAGTTGGTGCCCCAAACTTGTCAGTGTTTAAGAGGCATTTGGACAATGCCCTTAATAACATGCTTTAACATTTGTTCAGCCCTGAAGTGATCAGGCAGTTGGACTAGATGATCCTTATGGGTCCCTTCCATTAAATATATAAGTAAAACTAAAGAGATGGGAAGTTGGACTTATATTGTACATTTTTACATCGTACATTTTTTTATCTTATCTTTTTGCAAGTTACCATCTAGTGTCAGCTGACTCTTTTCCTTAAAATCATTAAAGTCAGGGGCAAAACTTAACATTCTAAGGCTAAGCAGACATTCTTCAGTGTGAATGTGAATTAAGTGCTGTGCTGGTATAGTGTTGTCCGCATATTTCTATGCAGTTGTACAGCCAAACTCAAAAGGGCAAACCATTATAAAAATATGTTTGACTTAATGTTATAACAGGTAAATTTGAGGTCAGTTGCTAGTGCTTTGACCTTCTGAAAAGAAAGATAGTTAAACATGTAAAAATTTTCACTAAGGTTTAAGTATGTTTTAGAGATTTATTTTGTTAACTGTAATAATTCAGAGAAGAAAAAAACCCTCTGGTTTTGTGAATTTCTTATTCTAGGTATTTCAACCACGGCCTGGAGATCATGAAAAGTATGGAGGTGACCCTGAGCAGCCCCACAAAATCCACATCATTACTAGAATAAAATGTGTAGTTGGTCGCCCATATTGGGAAAAGAAGATAATACATGATCTTGGGCTGGATAAAGTAAGATTGTTGTTCTTTATTGTGTACATCAGAAATGTAGAAACATACGGTAGAATTAAGGTGGTGGTTTTTTTTAAGGACCTCAGTTTTGCAGTCACGAAACTCAGATTGCTTTACAGCTGCTATAAGTGTAGTTGAGAAATCAATGATGTGTTATCAAGAGCTGAGAGGAACATTAATAGTAAATGCCCCTTTAGTGGGAACTCAGAATATCACTGTATGGTATTGCTATGCATGCCTGAGGAGAACCTCACCTTGAGAATGCTGCTAAAATAATAAAAATAGATTTGTAAATTAATTTAATTCAGTTTTCTCTGTGGCTTATATTATTCAGATATTGCAGGTAGGGAAATAAGACTAATTTTTTAATGAGAAGGCTTCCAAATCCAAAAGGGATGATAATTTTTCCAGCGGACTCTTAAGAGTTTGTGTCAAAGATGTGTTTATCTGAATTTTTTAGATCAACTACAGAGTGTAAAAACTTGTCTAGTCAGTGTTATATTACAGAGAACCAATGTTTGCTTGATCAATTTAACTGAAGCAAGCAGTCTTACCCCTAAACTACTGTATTTACATTTACAGTATTTTTAACAGGAGAAATTTTAATATATTGATAATGTAATGGGAGTAAAGCTGAATTTGTCATTTTACTGGAATCAAGAGTTTGATCAAGTTTTGATTTTGTATTTTTATGTATGTTCTTGGTGACATTTCTCTAAATCTTATATTTGCAAATACAGTTTACATTTTTACTGATAGTGTGAAAAGTTCAATGAACAGAGATTTGGGGTTTGGCAATGCATTTGTAAAACCTATTCTATCCTTTATATAGGCGCATCAGCCCATACTGCACAAAAATATCCCTTCTGTGAATTCCAAACTGAAAGTTGTTAAACATCTGATAAGGTTTGTTAACTGTTTGTTTAATTTGTAACACTTGATGTAACTCTCTTCTAGTCACAGGACTTCACTAAGCAAACTCTTTTGCCTTTAGAATACAGCCACTGAAACTACCTTATGGGTTGCCAACAGAAGAGGAAATGTCAGACACCTTTCTTACGAGCAAGGGAGAGCTTGTCATTAGACGGCATCTGAAACCCGCGGGGCAGAAAGAAATTAAACCATAAGATGTGGTGGTTGGATTTATAAAATAAATCATTTAAATCCTTACTTAAGAGTTTGTGTATTAAATGTAAGCTTAATTTTTACCCTGTCTGGTACAAATGGTGGAGGTGGCACTGATGCTTAAAGAAGGATTGCATGTGCACAAATATAAAAGTCGGTGTTGTTAATATTTGCCTGAAATATTAAATGAATGATAGTCTTTCTGCCCTCATGTTTTAATTTTGTGGCTAGATTACTGCAGTTTATGGTTAGCTATTAGAGAACTTTGTAATTAGTCAGTTAAGCAGAGAAGTAGAATAGATTTGACTAATGATGGTGAGGACATTTCACAGCTAACAGTAAAGGTTTACGATGCTGGTGCATGACTTTACCTTTACTGCACAAAGGAAGGAGCTGGAATTGAAAAGCCCTCTGCTTAGCAGTTACACGAGAATCAACTCGCTATCCACCGAGACTGTCATTTGCTTGAGGCAGGTGTGGGGGTGTCTTACCTTGGTCATCCAGATCTCATGCTTGTTCCTTGTCAAACAGTCTGTCATCTGACTGCCTCTGTAGCTTAAAAAGTACCTGAACTTCCTATTTGGGAGTAACAAGAGGAATGATTCACATCTTGGTAGGTTCTATAATTTTTCTTGCAGGAAACATGCTATCTCACTTCATACATATTTCTTGGTCCTAAATGTTTAATAATAATAACTTAAGAGCTGCAGTCTATGTGAAAGTTGATGCTTTTCCTGTTCTAAAATTGCAAACTAGAAATCTGGAGACCCTGAAGCATACCTCTTTGATGCAAGTTACTATTTATGGGCTTCAAGCTTATAAAATAGTACCTTTTACTGACAAATTGAATAGTATTGCATGCATATTTTTATTTACAGTTTTAAGAATTGTGGCCAAAGTTAGGAAGCTGCTGCTGTATCAAGTGATAAAGTAGTTTGCATTCCAGCAAGCATAAGTTCCATAGTTTAATACACTGTAAACTGCTCCCACACTAGACACAGAGTAGAGGAGTTAATCTTAATGACTGTATGTTGTGAGAAGATCTGAGGGATACAACCACTGAAAATCAATGTTTATCTTTTCTGCATGCTTGCAGAGAAGAGTAAACACCAGTAGGAGTCCAAATGAATGGACATACTGGTAGAGGGACATAGAAGCTGCAGACACCATGTGCAGAAGAAAAAGAGGCTAGGCTGTGGTAGTAGCATTGTAGAGTATAGAGGCTCCTATGGGTAGGCTGAAGGCAGAAACATGAAATTGAACTGAAAAATATCCATTTCTCAACAAACTACAGTCTGTAGTTTGAAGGACACAGAAAATACTGGTGTCAGTCTGAAGTAAATGGAATAGCAAGGAAAAAGTGAAGCAGATAAGTGATTGTTGCTTTTTCTTCTCTCCCTTCTTCCTTCCAGCATCTGCATAGTGTCGTGTGATGCAGTGTGTTATAACAGCAGTGTCTGTGTGGTGTTGATCATGTTCCCAAGGGAAGTACTTAGTGCAAGCTGAAATTTCAGGCCTTTTGAAGGATGTGTGTAGTGCATCCAAGGTACAGGGCATGCTTAAAAGAAATGGCACAAGTACTAGGGCCCAGAAAATTAGGCAAATGGGTTGCGTTGCTGAGGGATAGCAAATAAAAGACTTGTACCAGGCTTGGTGGCCCAGAGCACCAAAGCCAGGATCATTCAGGCTGGCCAACACACTCAGGATTTGTGTATAGAGCATGGCAGCCTGGTAAATCTTCAACAGAGGGAGCACTGCCAGCTCCGTCATACTCAGTCTGGCTATGAATATGGATCTTATATTCATTACACTGTGCAGACACTACAACTTTCAAAAGTACTGCAATGTAAACGGGGATGAATGTGTTAACGAACAAGCTTGCCTGGTACTGTGCACAACATAAAAAGTGTGTGATAAACTACTTAAGTCAGAGCAGAGCTAATAATTGCTTCCCAAGTACAGAGAAGGGAAGATGCTTTTGTACCTCTTCCTGAGCAAGATTTAGCTACAATAGAGCTGTTTACAGCTGTCTTTAATTGATAAGCTGGCAGTTTTAGTGAAAAAGAAAATTGCATTTTCTTAAAATTGTTAATATATGTGTAAGTTTGTGTGTTTCTGAAATGGTATTTCCTCCGAGGTCACAGCTGTCATACAGTCCATCTGCTCTCCCAAACCTTTTCTGCATAAACATAAGTTCTCTGAAGATTTGCTCTCTAAAACCTGAACCAACAGGGTGCACAAACACAGTGTGTGTCCAGAGCCTTTCATTAATGGAGCACTGTAAATGCTTCATGTAAATCTTCATGAAGCACAGGTAAGAGATGCTGCCTTTCTGTGTGGGGAACAAGCAGCAACTTAAGATGATGGCAAAATTCAGGTTGGAAAGTACCTCACAGGTCTGTAGTCCAACCTCCTGCTCAATGCAGGGCCAGAGCTGTGATCAGACCAGGTTGCTCAGGGCTTTGTCCAAAACCTCTGAGGACAGGGACAGCTCAGCCTCTCTGAGCAGCCTGCTCTGCTGCCTGGCTGTCCTCGTGACGTCACAGCACCAAAGTTAAGAGAAATTATACCAAAAGTATATGACACACAGTGATGTGCTTTTCTGGTAGATTAACGTATATGGTATTTATTGCAAATATTCAGTTCCAAAATTGCAAATTGTTAACAATCAATTTTGTACTGCTTAGACACATGTATTGACAGATAAAATCTAAGGCAGATAAAATCTTGTTAAGCAGTGTTATAATTTTCTTGCTGCATTAATCTGCTGCTTGCGAAACTGTGAGCACAGGTGAAAACTCTGCTTAAATTTTCTTGTGAAGTGGGATAAAAAAATAAATGATAAAAGATAGGTTACAGCTTGGATGATCAGTAGTGTTATCTTTGACAGTTATTTTTTTAGCCTTGGCCAAAATTAAAAAAAAAATCGAAAGCTTATACTTGTTTCTGGCTTCATTATCTTCTCCCTTTCTTACTGTTTCTGGGGGAGAAATCCAAGATTTTCTTAATTAGAAACAATGTATGCAATCAGTGACACAAACCTAATCATTGCTCAGGTATCTCAGTATCCATTTCTTTTAAAAAACTGGGCTCTTGCAACCACATCATTGGCATAGTCATTGTGTGTTGTGCCAATATCCACTCTGTTGTAGCTCTGGACATTGTTGGGTCCTGCATTATATGCTGAGATCCCACCTGAAATGAAAGAAACACATAAACAGAGGTGATACTTCATCAGTAAATAAGCAAACAAACAAAAAATACAACTCAAATGCATTGCTTTAGTTTGGACTTCTCTTTTCACCAGTATTTCTGGTCTTTGTGTTACCATCTCCAGCTATTTTTGTCACGGAGGTGTTCCTTTTGTGTTTTAACTTTGTGAAAAAATCATAAATTCCTCCGTTACATCCAGACTTGGTGATCATTGTTCCCTTGATATATTTGGCTAATGTTAACATCTTCAGTTGTATGACTGTTTCTTCTCTGCATATTCCTTCATGCCTACGTGCATTAATAACCTCAGACATATTTGTATTGTAGTTGGAATAAAGGGACCCAACCATAATGACTGCCTCAGCTGTAACCAGTGCTCATGAATATCACCATGTTTCCTCCAGAGAGGACCATACATTTTTCAAAAGTAATGTATTCCTCCTTCAGAGTTGCCAGGATAGTAGCTTTTTGTAGGTGGGTATAGAAATACAAACCAAATAAAACAGAGAGACAAGGGGAAGAATCCACCCTTACTCCTTGCAGCTGATAAATGTCATGGTATCCGCCAAGTTTTCAGGAAGCCTGCTAGAAAGTTAACCAAACATTATTCCTCTATTCCTTTTAGCAAGTATTATGGAATATTATTCCACACCTCAATAAAATGAACAGAGGGACTGAGATGTGTTTAGCTTTCTGAAGTGCTCGGCTTTGCAGTGTTGTCGTGCTTGACTTTTATGTGTGTGAAGTGTTTTAAAGATTACAAAATTCTACCTTTGAGCTGTTGTTCCTTTGTCCAACTTGGGAATTTCTTCTGTATTTCCTGTATCATCGAGCATAAAATCTCTGTGCCTTGTGCTAAGTGCTCTTCACTGTCCCATAACCCAACAATCCTATGGTACCTTTTGTCAACCTGAAAGTGAGACAGCAATATCAGCACACCAGAAACCCCACTATTTATCCAGAGCTCTTCATTGCTTACAGGATGCTTGTATTTATTTTGATTTTTAATCTCATGTTTTACCTCTTTTGTAATTGTATAGAGAAGAAGCAAGTGGATGCGTGAACAGCAGACTGTTGGGACACTGAAGAGGAATGCCTGCCCCACCTCCTTGTGTGTCAGAGCCTTAAAAAACCAACATAGCTGCTGCTGTAAAGGTGACAGGGTGCAAAAAGCAGACTTACTGCTGCTTAAACTTTTCCAGCTGCAAGGCGACTGCTCCTCTCTCCCCAGCTGCACCAAGGGTGGGAAAACCCTGTTTCCTCTAGGGATTTCCCCCCAATCTCTGCTCCATTTTTTTCCTTTCTTTCTCCTTCATTCTCCTCCACCATGGGGTAGTAAAGCAGAAGTCTGAGGGGGCTGGAGCTGTTACAAAAGTGGATCCCAATGCATGCAGCAAAAGCTTAGGGATTGTATGGATAAGCGTGCAGGTTGGCAAACAAGTGAGGCATGAATGTAGGCAAGATCCCCTACTATCCAGGCCCCTGTGGTGCATAAAGGGTAATTAACCTGAATGTATATAGCTGCAGCCTACAGACCTCTGTGCTTAATTAAAAAAAAAATGTATTCTGAAACAAGATTTGTTTTCTAAAGTATGAAATAGGAACAATTAATCTCTTCATTCCCAAGAGAGTGCTGGGAAGCAAGCAGTGGTTTCACAGTGCAAAGGCAGTTTGCTCCATGCCCTGACACTCCTTGGGGTCCTTCCCTGGTGCTGGGAGCTGATAGCTAGGTCAGTGTCAGCTTTATTCTGCCAAAAACTTGTCTGAAAAGGTTTATGGGGTTCCCTTTCAGTGGGTCTCCTGCTGCTCTTCTGACTTTCTACTTCAAAAGAAGGATGAGGTTTGTGTTTTTGAGAAGGCTGACCATACCTGCATTAAACCAAATGCATTTCCGTAGTCACCCCAGCCATCCTGCAGCACTGTCCCCGCATGTGACTCTCGAGAAATAATACCAGCAATCACAGCTGGATCAACACACTTGATGTTGCCAACTTTTAAAATCTTGGCTCGGTACTTTGCCATGTTATTCAAATCTTTTTCTGCAATCTTCTGTGAGGCAGCAACTCCTACAATACAAGGTGCGTGACTTTTCGTTTCGTTTTTAAAATTGTAAACAAGTTGTTCTAACAGTCACTATGACTAGGCTGACATTTTGAATCCTTCTGAATCTAGCTAGAGAGAACCAATGATAGAATTGACCAATTTTGCTGAAGGGTAGGTGCCCTAGAAATCAATACACAGATGAAATAAAAGACATGTTTTCAAATACAGAGGGTAGATCTATAGTGTGCAGATTAAAAGGCAGGTCTTCTTATTTTAATCCTAAACCTTTGGATGGATTAGTCCCAGATTTAGTTCCTTTTAATTTAGGACTATAATGGGGAAATGTTCAGAAACTTAGGTCATGAGGGAAACCCTCTTAAGGGAGAGAGAAAAGCAGGCTTGATGGCAGGGCTAGGGTGCACCCAGCAGACCTTGCATTTTCTCTGTGATGGTCTTGAATATCATCTCAAAGGCAGCTCTATTCCCTACATAAACTTACATGGCAAGTAGGATATTTGTTGATTGTGAAAAAATCTGCTCATGTGGCAATGACTGACATCAAGAGACCAGGATCCGTAATAGGGATGAAAAACTGAATTAGTGCCTACCTGCATAGCTCAGACCTTCTGGTCCTGCAGTTGCCTCTGAAGCTCCAGTTGTGTCAACATTCAGTATATTCCCATAACACTCCAGACAGCCTAAAATCGGTATTTACAGCCAGATGTCAGGCCAGCACAGTGTGTGATGCATGCCATTAAAAAGTTTTCAGATCCATGACTAAAACCCATGGCATCATTTCAGTACTAGTGCAGGCATTTGTGCTAGCAGGCGCAGTCATGCTGTCATATGCTCTGGAAAGGATTGCCTCCCAGTCGTGCTAGCATAAAGCCACAGTGTAGCTTGTGAGATGAGCTGGTGCTTTATGCACAATTAATCTCCCCTAGTTTTAGTTTGTCTAAACTTTTGACTTGGGCTGACCACATAGCCAATGGAGAAAGGCACATTCAAAAGGTGATTTTTCTATTCCAAAATAATAAAAAAGGTCTGTGATAGTCAAAAGAAATCCTACTACTTACGGGCTCCAGGTTGCTTTTCCATAGCTACCGTCAACAAGAAAAATCAAAGAGAAACATCCTTCAATTACATCCATTACAGTTGATCTGACTTGAAGTTTGTTTGACTTGCAATTTGTCTGTATTTATCTGTTGTCTAAACACGCCATTGTAGAATGGAAAACATGCAAACAGCAACCAAGAGGAACAATGCTAACCTAAACCCAGCAGTTAATGGAAAACAGTTTTGTACAGTGAATTATTTAAAAGAAAACTTCACAGACCTGACATGTTTGCAGCAGGATGTCTCCCCACCTTCTTACTGCACTTCCTGGAGACAAATGGGCTTTTTATCTGCTGGTGGTGTTTTGGAGCAGCTGACTCTGCACTTCCCACACGCTGCTGGTATTACGGGAAATGGGAATGCCTAACAACTTCCCATGTGTCCATCTGAACACAAGGTTTCTTTTCTACAGCACAAACACAATTGCAATTTTAAAAATTAAATGCATTTTTATTTAATTTAAAGCTAACAGTTTACAGCTATGAGGAGCCTCGTCTGAAAACTGCCCCCCCTTCAGTGTTGGGAGCAATATTGTGCTGACAAGGGGGAAACAGACATCTGTGCTTTTGTATGTAATGAAGTTTTTTCAGGCAAAGACCCAGAAATATATAATAACATATAAAAACCCAATAACATGACACAGACCTGCAACCACAGAGAATTTGGATATGTGGAGACAATGCCAGATCCCTGTTCTTATCCCACTTTTGTACAGCAACAACAAAGCTGAAGGCACAAACCCAAATTAGCAGGCATCGTGGATCAAAGCTGCTGTAGCTGTTCAGCAGTAAGGAAAAAAGCCACCGGATGGCAGACCTCTCCGTCACTGCTAATCCATCCAGACACGCTTCTCCCCCACAGTACATTTTGTGAGGGTGAAATGCTGTTTCACTGTTTCATCAGCTTTTTCACATTTTAAGCTGGGGAATTCATACCATGTTATTGCATTGAAAGATTCAATTCTGTAGGTTTTTCCTGTACTGTTGATACCTCCCGTAGACAACCAGCTGCAAAAAGTAACAGCAGCCTATGCATGGAGTGCTTCATGTTCACCCTTCTGAGTGAATTTAAAGAAGGTTGAAACAGAGGAAAGTACGTCTGGCAGGAAGGAAAGTAAAACAGATACGGCTCATATGGAAGTGACATTAAAAAAAATTGAAAATTCAGAATACCACTGAAGATGATTCACAAACCGGTAATCTCTAAATGGCCTGTACTACCATTCCCTTGTTACTGGGGGACAATAGTAAAGGATGTACTAGTTTGCTTCTTCTTCATCACAGTAACTGAGGCAAGCAGGTAGATCCTGTATTTTCTGGAGCCCTATCCAGAAATTATTGTTTAATCATATACGCATGCATGGAGTCTCTCATGTCCTGGGAAGTGTTCTCCTCAACAAGCCTGTATTCAGACTACTGGGGAAGAATGACATCTCTGCATGGTGGCTCATAACAACAGCCCTGTCACCTGAGTGATGTCGAGCAGGCTGCAGCGAGAGCTCAGGTCCCCGGGGACAGAGAACCGGTGAAGGCTTTTGCCAGTGCTCCTTGCAGTATCTCTCACTTGTCTCATCGCTTGCTCGCTCACCACAGAGGAGGCAGTACATAAGCCACACCGCACTGCGATCTCTCCTGCTATGTCAGGTGTACAGGTAGTGGCTTTGGGCATTGTGATTTATGTCTTAGACTTCCCTTGTACTCGCTGTTAGTTGAGGCATTCAGCAACCTCCAATTCAGAGGCAGGTCATCCTAGTTTTTCATCTTTTGGAAATGCTACAAAAAGCCTGTCAGAGTGCAGTTCTGCTGTGAAACTTGGTCTCTTGTGTTGGCCTCACCATGGAACTCTGTGAGCCAGCGCCGTGGGCTGTGGGTCGCCCTACCTCACCGCAGCACTGGGGGCCAGTGCTCCTTCCCTCCTCAGAAACCACTGCTGAATCCAGCCAATTTTGTCAGTGCAACTGCACTGAAGGCAGGGACATAATCTGAAGGTAATGGCAATATACACCTACGTGACCGAAGGAATAATTTACCTTGTTGATCATCTGTCAGGAGGGGAAAAGCCTGAAAGAAAGAGTAGGAAGAGGAGGAAGAGACCGAGTCAGTTAAATCTGGTTTCCATGAATGAGAGATTTATCAAGACAAAAACTTACTCAAAATGTTTGGTGTAAGAACTGAGATAATAGCTGTGGAGGCAGGCCCTGGCATTTTTCAGAAGATTTTGCATTAATTGAATGGGATTCAGATAGTTGTTTCTCAGTGTGGGAGTGAGTGTTGGTTCATCCACAAAAGATTAATCTGAAGAGATGTGTTAAGCTTCTGAGAGGGCAGGCAATATCACACAGCCTGGGACAAGAAGGCTTGGAAATGTTTTCAATTAAAGGCAAAGCAATGACTAGCATGTTTGTTTTGTCTTGGTTTTTTTTAATCATGCTGCAGAGATGAACAAAATCTAGCCTATTTTTAATTAGTGTTTAACTATTTTATATTTAACTGCTTTTTAACTGTATTTAGATGTCTTGACTGTAGGAGTGTGACTTGTTTCTACTGGATTTACTTTCACTTGTGTTGTCCTTAGGTGTGTCCTGTCTGGTTTTGCAACATTTCTGATAGCTAGATAAACAGTGAAATATTGACCCTTCTCAAGTCAGAAGGTGAAAATTCAGTAACCCTGCTGGGAAATATTTAAACAATGCATTAAGGAAGTTGTGATTTATGTTACTTTTTTATCCTGCTTATCTTCAGTAATGAGTAGTAAGGACCTCTCCTCATAAGATAAAACAAATCTCTCCTTCATTCTGGTAAGCCAGTAGTTGAGAGTTTTGACATACATTTAATGGAAGTTCTCTCTGTAAGGGAGAGAGACCCAAGGAGGTCAAACAGGACCCATCTGATACAAAACAATGTTTAAGGCAGTATAAAGTAAATTAAGAACATGTTTTTAGGCCCTTCCTGCATTTCATAAAGAATAACACAAGCCCAAATGTAATAAAAATTTTGAATGGATTATTCTTCACATGTTTTACTGATGCAGACTTATTTCAGAAGCACCAATGGAGTCTTGCTGTTGGATCAAGTGGAGCTTCTTTTTGTTTTTTCCCATGTAATTTTTAGGTACTGTAGTCCCATCAGTAAACTAAACCATTCGTGATACATGATTGTCAGCTACTGCTTTGGTAATTTTTTTTCTTATCTGTAATAACGGTTCATATTTAAGCAATTAGCTTGACTCCTGTGTAGTAAAGCTCAGTTTTATAGTTTAACATTTAAGCAATCAAAAAGACGTTAAGCCTGATAGTGCAGACCCAACAGAGTACTGAAAGCAGGAAAGCAGTAGTTGTTACAGGGAATAAGTTGCAACATACATTTCAAAACCCTGGTGGTTTTATTTATTGGTTTGGTTTCAAAAGTCCCCAGTAGTTTTTGCAGTTCTACTCATCCCATCGGCAGACATAAAGCCCCACGCTGCAGAGTACAAACAGGGCTGAGACATGAAACTTATACAAATCACACAAATTTCAGTGTCTTTTGTAATAAGTTCGTTTTTGCAAGCCTTGGGTCTGGCAAAATCGAGCTGAGACTTTAGATGAATTCTCGAGTATTTTGGAAGTCTTGTTCATGACCCCACCTAAATACAACAAAGGCATTTCTTATTATAAGATAAATACTAAAGAGTAATACTTAAATGCTTTGTATTTGTTGCTGATTAAAAATTAAAGCAAAAAATGGGAAACTATCTATATTTTTGCATTTATGTATGTGTACCTGATCTACTCTGTCCAAATGGACATGGCAAACTTCTTTACTTCTTTCCCTTCCTTCGCTGTCTATTGCATAGTTGTAGACACATATACTTGTCCTTGGCATGTTTTTTCTTGTCTAAGCAATCCAAGTCCTGAAATCTTGTCAGGTCACATTTTCTTCACTGCTGATCATGGTTGTTGGCAGTGGTTTTGAGGTTCTCTAGTTGGTCTCCATCTCTGCTTTGCTCTGGCTACCCAAGCCAAAGCAGTCCTTATCTGAGGCTTTTCTGGTGCTGATTAGCACAAAAGACTTCATGTGTCTTGCAGAGGGTTCACTATGTTGTGCATCTTAGTGTTGTGGTTGCCTTTGCACCAGAGTAGGACACTCTTACCCTCCCCACTCCCTTCTTCCACTGCACTGCCTTGCTCTGGCCCTGGGCTAGGGATGCTGGCAGTGTTGGTCCCTGGGCTGGAGGGCAGGAGGTAGTGGATGTTGTAGACTTAATTCTCTCTGTAGCTGGGGGAGGCCACCTTGGTGACGTGAATGCGGAGAAGGTCATGTTGCCACCTGTCCACATGGAGAGATGTCTGCAGTGAACATGTGCCGTGAGGTTTGCAGCCATCTCCGTGTATACTTATGGAGGACCTTGTGAAGATATATATTAAGGCAATTATATCTTTGCTAAGGCAAATTACAAAGCTTTGTAGGTTTTTTTCTGAATAAGAAACAAAAAGGCAGGATGTGTTTGACATGTATTTTTTATATGACCATCAGAAAACTCTGCTACATCAACTGCCAGGAGGTAGAAAATACTGAGATCCTCATGTTTAACTGTATTTTAAAGCACAGTGGCCCATATCTCACCTGACACTGGCTATATGGGCTCTGTGGGAGTTAGTATGGAGATTGACAGTTCTAAATCCTTGCCTGCAGATGTACTACTGAGAAATCTGGTACAACTTAAGACAGGAGAGAGTAGCTTTAAAACATGTATGTTGAACACACGTAATTTCATAGCAGCTCTAGCTGAAGTGTCAGCAAGGTGCCTTCTGGCTAATGGAGCTGGTGGGTTGGTGAGCCCTGGGACAGGGACATCCCTCTGTGCTAGTCCCAGGAACTGGTGGCATGAGGTATCTGCAGGAGCAACTGATCAGTCGATCTGCAAGACTAATGGGTTAATCTAAGAGTTGAATAGTGATCAGCATTTGTTACTTCTGGGGATTTGTGTTTAAAAAAATTAAATTAATCACCTGGGTTTCCAAGCATATGCTGTCAGACAGCCACTTCTACAGGATGGCAATGAGGCAGACACCTCCCAGCTTGCCTTCCCATGCACACTGCTCACGACACCACGTGGGCTGTAGTGATGGCAAGCAAGGTCTTTCCAAATTGAGGTGACCTGCTGGGACAAGTCTGTAGTTACAAGACAGGTTCAGGAACAAGACAGGAGGGAAAGTCAGCAAGGCAAAATCAGGACCAGTAGGTTACAAAGTCAGGCACAGGCTGACTTTCTGTGAAGCTGAGGTGAGGACCCAAGACAAAGCTGTGAGCTTAAATGCAGCTCCTGAGCCAGCAGGCAGAGGGGAGCATGGGAGGGGAGAAGAGATGAGGCTCATCATAGTGCAATATCAAGAGCTGACCTTCAATGCAGGCAGCCAGATCCTTGGGGGAGAGGGGGAAGAGGCTGCAGAGCCTGGCAGTGCAATCAGGGCCCAGACAGCATGGTCTCCCCAAAGGTGACTCTTCTCCAGTGGACCCAATTCCCTCCGCCTCTCCTTGTGTGTCCTGTGCTCCAGCCCTTGACCAGCTTGGTGGCCTTGGCTGGACTCACTCCAGCATGTCTGTGTCCCTCTTGTATCAAGGACCTCCAAAACTGGATACACTGCTCCAGGTGTGGTCTCACAAGCATGAAAGAGACGGAAATGATTGCTCCCATCCCTGCTGACTAAAATTTTGCTAATGCAGCTCAGGGTGCTCTTAGTCTACACCTCCATGAGGGTCCATGTGTCCACCAGGACGCCCAGGTCCATTTTTGCAGTTTACTTTCTAAACAATTGCCTTCCAGACCATAATGGTGCATGGGGTTGTTCTGTCCCAGGTGTAGGGCTTTGCCTGTGCCTTAATTGATCATCATGGGGTAACTATCAGCCCATTTCTCCAGCCTCTCCAGGACCCAGCATTTGGTATCATCTGTAAACTTGCTGGGAGCACTTTCTGTCCCTAGTCTGAATTGCTGCTGAAGACACGAAGCAGTACAGACTGCAGGATCTGTCCCTGGGGGATGCCACTAGCATCTGGCCACCAGCTGGACCCTGTGACACTGATCATCATGCTTTCAGCCTGGTAACTATCTAGTCAATTTTCTACCCACCTTTCTATCCAGTCCATGTCTCACCAGACTGGCTAGAAGGATACTACACCAGGCCGGGGCAAAGACCTCGCAGGCTCAAGTTATAACACATCCACTCCTCTACCCTTCTCCATAAAGTCAGTCATCTCATTGCAGGAGGCAAACAGGTTGGCTGGGCACTATTTACGCTGTTTAAATCCATGTTATATGTTTTCAACATGGTCTCTAATTGCTCCTGGAAGGATGTGTATCATAACTCTGTAACTGTTGATGGCTTTGGATTGCATTTTCCTATCCATTTAAGATGCTTGCAGTCAGTGGTTTTTCTAATTACTTTGACATACAGTTATTCCCAGTCCCAGAAGGTGTGCTCATCATGGAAGAATAAAGTTCCCTCAGCATGCAAGTCGGTGCTAGTGGGAAAGGCATGTCTTGCACTGCTTGGTGCCAGACCAAAACAAACTCTTCCTTTGGCCCTGGACAATGAGTGTCACACAGTCCTGCTGGCATCTACCCCTCTCCTTTTGTTGCCTCTCCACACTCCCACCCCCAAAACAGTTCAATTCCAGGTCTAGAAGGAATACGAACACCAAAATATGCCAAACTCAAAGACTGCTGTTTTCCTGAGTGTCATTATTCTACAAAGAGCAGAGAGGGAAAATAATTTTATGAGGTGCAAACATGTATTTCATCCTGTTCCCTTCTCAGTTTCTCTATCTCTCTAAAATTAACATCCTACTTAACCAAACTTTGCTAACACACATGGAGTTCTGCTTTGTTTGCTAATGCTTTTATTGAATTTCTGTTTGCTTATTTCTTTATGACTAAAAATATCCATCTCTATTCTATGCGTTTATATGAAAAATTACTATTCAGAAAAAAAAAAGGTTACTTCACAGCATAATGTAAATATCAAGCAGCTTTGAAAAAATAAATCATGAAGCTAATACCCAAGGAAGTATTTTTTTTTTTGATTTCTTAAGAGAACAGCAGATTTTGCCAGAAAAGTGTTTTAAGATCTGGCAGGCAGCAAATTATCAATAGCAAAACAAGATAGTCCTCATAGCTCAGAGAAATATGCAGATAGCAGAAAAAAAAAATGAGATTTTGGTAAAATCCAAACCATATTGCTTGTAAAGAAACTGCATGAGTGATGTCTTACTGAATATTGTTTTAAAAATTCAGGGCTTCATTCTGCAAATGCTTATTCATGTAAATCATTCCTGTACATTTGCATCTCTATGGATTCGCAGGGTACAGCTGCTCTGTGTCTTCTCTCCCTCAGGGGTGTCATGCAGGTGATGGTAAGAAAGTTACTCTGTAGAGATTATTGAGTCTAGTATCCTTGTTTCTTGTAATATTTGGCTCGTGCAACCACGTCACTGGAGTAGTCATTGTGGGTGGTGCCGATGTCCATTCTGTCATAACTTCGGACGTTGCTGGTACCAAAGTTGTAAGCAGCGATCCCACCTGAAATGAAACACCAAAAGAACTCATACAGACTTAAAAAAATAGGGAAAATTGCAGACCAATGTGTTCTGCTCTTACTGGTTTTGAAAGCTTTTGCTTATTGGGACTTTGGAAGGGGAGTAGGTAGCATTATTGGATCTTGTTTGTCTTAAGTGGGGCTTTGCAAACAGCTTACAGTTATTCCTGAATCCACCAAAACATCAGAAAGATACCTGAGGTTTTGTCTTCACAGATATTTGCAGCTTGATGAATTTGTACTGCTTACCTGGCCCAGCACAAGCCCTTCATTTACACTGGGCTTGTTCAGAATAGAATAGAATAGAATGGGATTGTGTCATGTCATGTCATGTCATGTCATGTCATGTCATGTCATGTCATGTCATGTCATATCAACACCCTTGTAACTTCTCACTCATCCTTGAAAATTACTGCTCTTAAAAGAGAGTTAAAACACACTCAAATGTTGCATTATCTTTGTCTTGCAGCTGCATATATGCTTCTCCATATGCCATGCTGAAAAGCAGAGGTATCTGAGGTGGCTGTGAAATGAACCTGCTGTGGCACCCCAACAGTCCGAGGGGGGTTGCAGGGTGCAGCCTGCTTTGAAGCAGGCAGCTTTTCCACACTGTGCAGCACAGTTTTGCAATTCCCTGAGAGCAAACACCTCATTTCCTTTTTTCAACAGAGATATAGAGTGAACTTCTGGCCCCATTCAAGTAAACTATGCAGCTAATTATTAACCAGAATGGCTGTAGGACACTCCTCACGGTCAGATAAGGAACTCTCAGCTCTTACATAGACTAGATTTCACGTGTATAAATACTTGCCACATGATGGTGGAAATTCAGCAAGTTTGCTATACTAAGGAAAGGCAAAAACTACACAGAATTGAAAAAGCTTGGTTTTTTTCTGGTGAAATAAAACAGGGATGAAAAGCTAAGAAACAGCCTGTTAGAAATGTGGGGTTTGAGGAACACGGGAACTAATTAAGTGTGTTCTTGTCCTAAAGATTTTCTTCTCTCCTAGAAAAAACCTGTGGCCTGTACCTTACCTTTCAGCTGCTGATCCTTTGTCCAGCGTGGAAAATTTCTCTGTATTGTCTTTGTCATACTGATAAGTATGTTTGTACCCTGGATAAGATGAGTTTCGCTGTTCCATTGTCCCCTAGGTGTATGTGATTTTTTGTCAACCTAGAAATGTCAAAGCAACAAAAAGAAATAATTTCCCTGCTGTAGTGGATGGTATGATGAGGAAGTTTACTTTTATTTATATGCTGTTTGTTTATCAGGCTTTAGTGAAGTATCAGCAAATACCTGCATTAAACCAAATCCATTTCCATTGTCACCCCAGCCATTCTTCAGTGCTTTGCCAGCATGAGATTCCCGGGAGATGATGCCAGCAATCACAGCTGGTTCAATGCACAGGTTTTCACCAACTTTCTTAATGAGTGTTTTATATTGATTCATAGCTCTTAGGTCCCGTTCAGCAATCTTTTCTGAAGCACTAACTCCTGTAATTAAAATAAAAAGATATTTGCTTAATAACTGAGTTTAAAAACTTTGAATTGTCTCTCACCTCTCTCCTTTTCATACAGACAGAACTACCTCAAAATTTTGTTTGCCTCTCCTCTGGGAGGAGGTAGATGATTGCCTACAGGGATATTATGCAGGCTCAACATCTAGCGTGTGTTCAGCACTTTGGAAATGTGAAGGGTTTGGGATTATTGTGCCATGGAGAAATGGAGGTGTCTGGCAGAGGAGGGATACTCACCACAGTAGGACAAACCCTCTGACTTCGCTGTTTTGCATGAAGCCCCAGAGGTTTTAATTCTGTTTACACTGCCGTAGCAATCCGTGCGGCCCTGGGAGGCACCTGCAGAGGCAACAGGAAAGGCTCAATGAAAACCTTTTGTGACTGCAAGTAAAACCCAAGGGGAGGTTGCACCCCAGAGAGGACAGGCTGTGGGTCGTGGGAGCCGCATGGGGCTGCCTCTGTTGCTCCTTGTGATGGAGAAGAGGTGACATCCTGCCCTGTGCCCTGCACCTTGCACCCATCTGTCTCTCAGAGGCCACCCTTCCTTCTGCAAGACTCCCATGGGGACGCAAGCACTCTCTTCTCCGATAGAGTTTAATGGCAACTGAGATTTTGGGGAGGAGGGTGAGGTGGTACATCAATGTCTCCTGCTTCACAGCCCAGTGGAGCATGTCCCCAGCTGCTTGGGGCGAGGCAGCGAGGGACGCCAGACTTACCCAGGAGGGCAGCAAGGCCCAGCAGCATGAGCATTGAGTACATGGAGTGGTTCTTCCTGAGCACACAGAACAGCCTGAAAATCAATCAGTCAGCATTGACATGTGTGAAGATATGAATATATCTTACTGCTCACCACATGAACACAAAGAAACTCTTTCTGAGCTGATAGGGTATTTCTCTTGGTTGGGTAGGCAGAGCAATACACAAATGGAGTCACATCTCTTTTTATGAGATACCCCAATGGCAGCTCTCCTGCTCCAGCACAAACCAGGCTGCAGTCATTCACAAGAGACTTGTAACCTCTCACTTCTGCTGGTGTTTGAAACCCATGTCTTCTATGACATCTTGGTAACTTCCTCCAAATCTCAAACCCCGATACTTAATTCAGAAAAAATAAAATTAGTCATGTTCAGCACTGTGCTACTGTGCTCCCCCCATGAACACTCTTATTTCCTGCCCATATTCTGTATACAAACCGCCTTCTCCACAGCTGGACAGCTTTGCCTGAATTTCCCGAGACTCTCCTTATATTCAGAAATTGGCACTTTCAAGATAAAAGCTGTCTAAAACACTGTGACTATCTACTTTAGGGTGAGTTGTGCTCTGGGAGCATCCATTTCCCCTCACTGGCTGTGAGGAAAGCCTAGGGAGATAGGCTCATGTACAGATGAGAGCCATGGAAATTTAGGTGACCTAAATCCAGAACTACAGGACAAATCTTGGTATCCTTATTCAAGCAGAAATCTCACACAGCAAAAAGCTGCAGCCCTGAACTGCTGAGGAGATGGCATTGCTGAAGGGAATAAAAAGAGCTCCTGACCTGAGCGGTGGTATCTTACCTCCTTTTCTGCAGCTCAGCTTCTGGCACAGGACTGAAGTTTGGGGAAGTATAATATATAAGGAAAGCTACCTTCTGTTTGGTGGTAACCTGACACTGTGATGAAATTTACTGGGCTGTGGTTTTGTGAGACTTAACAGAATTTTTTTGTCATGTAAACAGAACCTGTTGCACTATAGACATTGGCATCGTGTCAAGTATGTTCTTGGGAGTGGTATTTCCCAGGTAGGTTTCCAAGGGAAAAAAAAAGAAATCACCTGATTTTAATTCATGTGTCTCTCTACCTACATCTTATATTTCATATCCTATCCCCAGAGGGAGTCGTGGTGAGGGTCAAGCTAAAGATCCAGCATCCAGCTTGTCTGCGGGTGTTTGCCCTAGTCCCATCCCAGCATTCCAGGCTGTGTCCCTGCTGCTCAAGAAAAGGGCTGGGAATAACCCTGGGCTGTTGGCTATGTGGCATGGAGGAGCATGCAGCCTTACCACCTGGGCTAGTACTCTTCTGAGAGACTGGTCATGTCCACACCAGAGGCCCATTTCCCCCGTCTCAAAGGGGTGATCCTGTGATAGTGTACTCTGCCAGCATCGCTTGTCAGCAGAAAAAAACAATGATGCCTTGTCGTTTCAGCATTTTTTTTTTTTTTCATAATAGCTTTTAATGAGCCCAACTCATCTCCACAATGATTCAGCCAACCCTTTGCCTCAACATTTTTCTCTGCTGTGAGGGAGAGAGGTTTCTAACATACTCCTCCTTTTGAGTAGAGGGACTGTAATGAGCCAGGCGTTTATAATCACCAAAACTGCATTTGTCACCTGGGGATAGACACCAATGCGAAGGATACCAGTATCATGTTAGCGAGAGGTTATTTGCCTGTAGATGCCCAAATCAGAGGGTCTTGGAGCCCCTTGCCTCTGTCCACTAGGTTCTTTGCCTGCCCTTCAAACACCTCTGCCTCTCTCGGCTCCCCAGTCACGTTTATGCACACTCACAACCCTTTTCCTGCCACCTCACATGCCAAAAATACCACAGCAGGGAAAACTTTCACTCAGTGTGGGTGAGGGAGTCTGGCTGGTGCCTTTGGAATCTGCGGTCAGTCTCCAAAGTGTGAATAGGGGGAAGAAAGCAAAGCACCAGAGGGCTTGTTGGGCACAGCTTTATTAGTGGTGGAACTGACTTGTTCTGCCGATGCCCTTCTTTGCAAGCCCTGTTTCCTTCGACATTGTGGATGCATGGGGTCTCGTCCCACCTCCAACAGTGTCTTCTCAAGATGAAGCCACTGCAGAAGGCTGGCTGTGATGAGAGGAGAGACACACTGCTCCCCCAGGTTTATCTTCATTACTTAATACCTGAGCAGAGGAGTGCCTTGTGGACCTGACATATTTGCTCAAGAAGATTGATATTTTAGCATTAGCTCTTGGAAATCTCACAGAAGGAGAAGCTAGTAATGAATAGAGGAGTGGGGATTTCCCCCCACTTGTTGTTGCAGCAAGGCAAATAACACTGAGTCAGTTATTAACCAGTTGCTGTGATCACTGGACTAGCTGAATCTATCTTCACCAAGGATGCCCTCGGGCTCCACAATTTCACCTCTCCCATGGGGGACATGCTTCCATGGTGGCACTACAGTGCTGGTTTTCCCAGCTGCTTTGCTCTCCCCTGTCCCTGTAGTTTATTCTCATCGGTAGTCTGCAGTCAGAGGAATGAGGTAACCCAAAACAACCTTCTTAAAATGTTGCTTCTTTACCTCTAAAAGCAAAGCCCACCTTTGCAAAGAGAAGGGCTAACAATGCCAAAGTGCCAGTTAATATACTAGGTGAGCTGTTTCAGTTCATACCCATTATGCTTGGGGTGTTGGCATCAGTGTTTTGCTGACTCTTCCTTGCCCATCCCTTAAATGACTGATGCATAAACTGTGTTGGTGCTCCCAGAGCCAACGTGGGGAGCTTGTCTGTGTGGTAAGATGCGAAGTATCCGTGTGAGCAGCTCCTTCACTGTCTCTCACCATGTATGCTGAGAAGATTACACTTACATTTTCCATTCTCCCCTCTGGCTCCATCTTCACAGAGCCACAGAAGCACAGAGTGACCGATGTTGGAGAGGACCTTGGGAGGTCTCTAGTCCAACCTCCTGCTCAAAGCAGTGCCAACTTTGAAGTCACATTGGGTTTCTCAAGTCATTGCCCTGTCTTTTATGAACACTTCCATGGATGGATATTCCCCAGCCTCTCTGTGCAACCTGGTACAGTGCTTAACCACCCACCATTTTTTTGTGAAAAATTCCTTTTCTTTTATCAAGTCCAAATTTGCCTGGTTGTAATTTTGACTGTTGCCTCTGACCCTCTTTCTGTGTACCTCCAAGAAAAGTCTGACTCTACCTTCTCTATAACCTCCACTGAGGTAGCTGAAAATGTCCCCCAGAAGCCCTGTCTTTCCCAGGCTGAGCAGACCTAGGTCCCTCAGCCTCTGCTTGTACAACTTGTGCTCCAGCTTGGTGGCCTGTACTGGCCTACAGCACGTTAGGGTCTCTTTTATACTGGGGAGCCGAAAACTCAGAACAAGTACCAAGTAGATGGGAAGGATCACGTCCCTGGACTTGCTTTTCCTAATGCAGCCCAGGAGGTTGTTGGCCACCTTTGCTGTAAGGGTGCATTACCCACTTGTGGTCAACCTGTTGTCCACCAGGACCCGCAGGGCTTTCTCTACAGAGCTGCTTTGAAACTGGCTGGTGCCCAGCATGTATTGGTTCCTGGGGAATTTCTGTCTCAGGAGTGAGACTTGGCAGCACCTGTAGTTGAATTTCATGACATTCCTGTCCAGCCTGTCCACATTCCTCTGACTAGCAGTCCTGTCCCACCTAGCACCTGTGAACTTACTGGAAGTGCTCTCTGTCCCTAGCTCATGCTGGTGCTGAGGACATTAAATAGTACTGGCTGCAGAATCAGTCCTTGAGGGGTGCCACTGGTAGCTGGCCACCAGCAAGACTCTGAACTGTTTGCCATCAGCCAGTGGCCACAACAGCCCAGCCAGCTCTTCAGCCTCCATGTAGAGCAACCCAACAGTCCTGCTACTGAAATAGCACATGTGTGTGGTAAGTGCATGACACCTACCTGTAGTACATATAGACAGGGCCACAGTGATCCAGTCAATAAATAGTATTCATGAACTATCAGTAGACAGCTCTTCATCAATCACAGCAGTCACATGGTAGAGACAGTGCTGGTTTACCCAAAAACCATACTGCAGGGCACTGGATATGAGCCAGCATCAAGTACTCTTACTTTCTCTCCTGTGTCTGGCAGGACGAATGCCTCCTGAATTTTGTCAGTTTCTTGATCTGAGTCAACTGAGGCGTGGTTGAATAGGCAGGGAATTAGTAAAATAAAACCTGAATAAAAGGATGGAAATGGGATAAATTTTCTTGCCTGCCTTGCAACAAGAAACCTTTCCAGAAGTTGGAATTTTTTCTGGAAGGCTGAGAGCTGCAGCAGGGTGGCTCATGGTGTGAAAGCACTAGTCTCAAGTCAGCTGCATCATCCCTCTGTGGGTTTTTTCATGCTCTTGAGCATTTCTTCTCTATTGCTAATTAGCTTAATAAGGGTAGGGTAAGAAATGAGTGATTCTAGTTACGCCTTTGGGGAAGAAACTAGGCTGATATAAGCTTCACAAAGCAATTAAGCATTTAAGCTGTGTGAGGTTACTCAGACTGTGGCAGGGAGGCAGGATGCTCTGGGTGCCTGGAGCTCCTGCAGTGGGAGCAGGTCCATTGTGTCAAGTCTGCAGCATGGCCACGTGGGGAAATGGAGGAACTTGTAGATGGCTGAGGCATGTGAGGAACTAGCAAAACTTCATGGATGAGAAGAGCAGCCTAGAAGAGGTGGACTGCACCTGGGCTGTAGCACAGGCAGGCTGTGGCACTGGAAATTAAAGAGGTTGTAGAGGAGCATTTCCACTATTAGCAGGGGAAAGCTGAGGGATGCAGAGGGCTACCCAATATGAACTGATGTGATCTACATGGTGGACATGGCTGATGTTCAGTTTACCTCTGAAAAATTCAGGAGGGAAATAAACAGCATGATCACAATAAATAAGAAAGACAAAATAGACAGAATACAGTGGCAAGGGTTTGGCACATGCAATATTAAGCAATGAAGCAAAGGCAAACTTAACAGTGCTTCTGCACAGTTGCTAGCAGTTTCAAAAACAAGCCAGGAGAACCAGAATGTCTGGTGCCAAATAGCAACCCGAGATAGCAGGCATCTCAGAGACTTGATGGAGGCTAGAAAACCTAAGAGATACATCACTACCAGACTTATAAGACTGACAGAGTAGAATGTAGAGGTGGAGGAGTGATGCCATATGTGAAAGATAAAAGTGTAACAGCATAAAAATATTACAGGAAAAGAGAAGCACCCTAAAAACCTGTGGGTGGATATCCCAGTTGCTATTGATAAAAATGGCATAGTAGGACTGTACTATTGATCCTTTATGAGAACAGTGATAGTGGTCAGTGAGACCAGAGAAGCAGCAAATACAGGACTGTGGTATAAGTGGGAGCACTCATTTAGGCTGGATCAGCACCTCATCAGGATGAGATGCAGAAGCAGAATTTTTGGTGGCAATAAATCACTACTTCCAAGAAGAGCTCATCCAGGAACCCACAGAAACAAATGCTAGAGAGTGGTACATTGGCTTTGTTTGAGCAGTGTTAGTGGGAGACTGCTCTGAGGTTGCAATCCCACAACATGATCACTTTTAACACTGAAATGGGAAAAAGCAGGCCATGTGCACCCAGTATGGGAGTTCTCAGTTTCAGGGAAGGCCATTAAATAAACTGAGGCAAGCATTAGAAATAAGTCACCAGCAAAAAGAAGCCCCAAACCAGAGAAGCCTGCAAACATCCTGAAGGCTTCTCAAAAATACTGCTAGAAGCCCACACTAAAAAGATGCCACAACTCAAAAAGAAAAGAAAATACTTACCCCTCAAAAGAAAAGTTAAGGTGGCTGCCACAGGGAAAAGGCTGATATGTAGAAAATAGAAAAA